TTCGATGATTAAACGGACCCATTATGCCAAATTAAGTATTTAATTTATTCCATAAAATATAGTCAAAACAAAGAAACTGACTCAATCTCAAAACAACTATTAAAAACTACTACGCTGACGTTTTTTTTGTAAATTAAAAGTTTCTAGAAATTTCTTTAAACTTGAAATAGATAATGATGAACGATTTAACAAAAATCACATAATTATGATCATGTCAAATTTTTCGTTTTTATTTTCAAATTCCTTAACAAATTAGCAAAGAAATTTAAATAAACAAAACAATAAGTAAATTAATGAATAAACATAAATAAATATAAACAATTTTAAACACTTGTAGATGTTGGGAGTGAAATCTGTTTAATAAGATTTTAAACGAAAATATAGCAAAATTTAAACTACTACTTAAAACTATTAAGAAGTCAACGAGCTATCAATGCCAACAAATTATTTGCCAAAAACTAAAGCAGCTCATGTATCTTGATATACAACTTTGATCTGTAGTTTAAGAATAACTAAGAAACTAAGCGATATTTATTGTATTGATCTTGTTGGTGTTTGGGAAGTCTCACTGCCCGGCTGGTGGTTTAACCAGTCCATCATGATGACGATGTGAATTTTGAAATATTATTGATTGTTCAAATATTAACTGATTCATATTGTCCAGTTAACTATAGATATTTATTGTTTGTTTGTTTATTTGATCTTTAATGATCAATTATATTTGTTTTTTTTTTTTTTTTTTTGAATATTTAGTGAGTTTGTACATATTTTACATTCCTTAAAGTGAGAGTATTTATCATATGTTTGGAGTTTCGGTTACTTTACATTTAAAGGCATGATTTGTATAACTTATTCGTAATTTTAAGATAAAAACAATTGCGGTTTTAGACGATCTTAAGATTTGTTTAAATTAAAACATTAATATTTTGACGTCAAAGTTTAAAAACAGAAGAAATTATGTAATTTAATTTACATAAATTAAAACTTATTGTTTAAATAAATAAACAAAATTTGTTTTCTTTTTTTGTTTTTATTTTGATAAACAAAATTTTTATTTAACAAAACTATTTCAACTTTTCTGATCCAGAACTTCCAGTTAGTTTTATGTGTTCAGCAGCCGTTGTAAGACAAGTAAGAGTTTTATATACGGCTCTTAACGAATCGATTATTTGTATAACTTAAAAATGAGTAGTTCAAAACTGATGTCGTATCTTTTGAACGCGTACTTTTGTATTTAGTAACTTACGGACGGATATATCTATTCTCATATTAGTTAATGAAAATGTTGAAAATTTTGTATCAACAAAGGGTCATATGAGGGAAATTTGGCTTTAATTTGAAAGAAGTGCCTCTAAAGCACACTGATTGCTTAGCGAAACTTTGGTGAATATGTTTCATCACATTCAAAGAGCGAAAGATGATTTGTGCTATTCAGAAGTGACGATTTTGACACTCAGGACAGATAGGAAAGTTTGAAGATAAAAATTGTTGTCAACTCAATAAGAGCTTACATAATGGTTTGGACTTATTCAAGCATAAATTTCAAAACGTTCGTAATCTGCAGGATTCTTTCAAAAAAGAACTAAAAGGAGATAATTTTTGCACCGATTCATTACATGAAAACTAGATCCACTGCGATATTTCGAAGCATCAGTGATCTTATGTGAACCCCGAACAACTAGCTGAATCGACAACCAAGCTAAATATCAATGGCTCTAAGGTAATGCTCTTTATTTGGTTAGAAACAAAAGGAGAAATCTGCTGCTGTGATTTGGGAATCTGTAGCGAATGTAACAGGATCGTTTAAGGAGTAAATTGGCCGAAAATCGCATAGTATATGCAAGCACATACTGTTAAAAAGCAAGTAGAAAGAAGTGTTTGGGAAGTTCGTTCGACTACTTTTTGTTTCGATCGTTGCAGAACACTCTATCGCTGATATGCGTTACTTCAAAACAGGGTGGAACCGGAGAAATGTTGTTCATTCCACTATATAGATGATCAATGTTCAAAAGCAATAAATAAGGTAGCGCACGCAGCCGTGCGGCATCGATCTCTAGGCGAATTGATCAAAGGAGGTCACGTCATTACGTGCCCAATCGAAATGTTCAGAAATTGTGAAACATTGATCCCAAATAGAGGAACATGATCACATGGAACATTAGAGTTAACATACGTAAGAATTTGTAGCTGCACGGATGGTTTTAAATTGGCCACAATACTTGCTTCCAAGCTGAAGTTCGTGCTGTTACTGAATGTGTATAATGGACTGAATTTTATATATATAGCGGAGGCAGATGTTAAGGTATTTTCCGAAAAGAACAAAAGAGCAATCGAACAAACGAAAAGCTTGAGTCTAAAACAGTCTTCGACTGTATGAAAGCTGTATGTCAGACCCTAATCTTGGTGTATTGTAATCCCGGGGTAAAGAGGTGCTACCAGTACCTCTAGTCTACCGGGACTATAAACTGATGATGTCAATTCACTCCTTCGCTAGTCCTTGGTATTATTTGACATGAGGTCTAACCAGAGAACCACATAATCTGATACTAAGGGTGGCCAGTTGCCTGCAGGACTTGTCCTGGTCAGTTGATTGAAGTTCCTTCGGGATCCACGTAGTGGCTGTGGTTTAAACCTAAATTCGCGGGAAGAGAATGTTAGTTTAAGGACTGATATATCCTATACATAATGCTTTCTTCAATGAAGGATTCAGGGGCGATGGTTGACAGTTCTCAAGGGGACCCAGTGGACGAAAAAGACCACCGTGAAATAAGGCCCTCAAAAGCCCTGATGACAAAGAAAGCGGGTATAACAGCATGATTAAGAGAATGGCATTCAACCAGATGGGATAATGGAACGGGTGGTGGAAAAACTTATGAGCTAAACCAAACGAAAGGAGAACGAAAAGTCTGCTTAGCAATGTTATAACGGATATAACATCCTTAAGAAACATTGATTGGAAAATTTGTAGGACTTACATCCCGGAGACAGAGTTTCTAAACCATCATACAATAATTCCACTTTAATGGTGATTTAGTCATCAAAGATGAAGCGCAAAACAGGCTCGATAGTGGTCTAGGTTTAAGATTTGATCATTAAAATCTTTCTTCGTCGCTGGCTTTGATGAGTTGATCTCTAAAGGTCGAACTATAGCTACATATTCCACAAATCACAACAAGTTCTTTGATTAGAATATCGATCTAGTATAGTTTTTAGAGATTACAGTTGTGAACTGACTGAGGTTATACCAAATATATGGAGAAAGATTATTCATATTTCAGATAATAATAGTCAGACGCCTTTTATTTAGCTCATTCTATGTGTTTCTAGGTAACCGGTTATCAATCAAAAGTTGTATAACTGTAGAACAAAATATTAGTAAAATTGGATTACTTATTTACCCTTTTTTGAACGACGAAATTGACCGAGGGCCATATACTCTCGATATCTGAGTTGTTGATTATCCGAACTGACATATATTATGCGTGGTCGAAGAATTGAATCGAATACGGTCTACAGTGTTAAACTGAACTTATATTGATTTAAACTTAATAAGAGTAATGATCTCTCTCTCTCTCTTCTCAACTTTCTTGATCACTGGAAATATGGATAAAAGAAAACTTTGCGAAACTTTGGATTCAAGAGTACTATTACAATTGTGGGCTAAAGAGTAGGTTCTTACATACAACTTAGGGCGGCGTTGCACATTAACACTGATCAACATTTGATCACTGGAAATATGGATAAATGAAAACTTTCCGAAACTATGGGTTCCAGAGTACTATTACAATTGTTGGCTAAAGATTAGATTCTTACATACAACTTTGGGCGGCGCTGCCCTGATCTGCTGATCAACATCTTGTGTGATCGACGTAATGTGACGATCCCTGGTTACAAAGTCCACCGGCTGATTGTGGTACGGCTTTCTTGTGAAAACGTTGGGTTCAATAGACTTCTCTGAATGTGGGCTGATGAGACAATTGCTTCTGACGACAAGGAACATACCTATACTCTTGATATGTCAGTTATTGATCATCAGGATTAGCATATATTTCTCGTGATCGAAAAATCGAATCTGTAGGGAAGAAATTTTAAAATGAAAAGTACAGTCTGATCTTACGTTGATAAAAACTTGCATCAGTTTAATAACATAATCGAGATTGATCAACTTTCTTGATCAATGGAAATATGGATTAAAAAAAGTGGAAACTTTGGGTTCAAGAGTGATATTACAATTGTGGGCTGAAGATTAAGTTCTTAAAGATAACTTTGAGCGTTGTTGACACCGATCAACATCTTGTGTGATCGGCGGAATGTGACAATCCCTGGTTACAAAGTCGACCGGCTGATTGTGGTGCGGGTTTCTTGTGATAATGTTGGGCTCAATAGGACATCTATGAATGTGAACAGACAATTGCTTGTGACCTCAACGGACATATCTATACTCTTGATATCTCAGTTGTTGATCATTACTCATGTGACTCATTTAAAATGAGTGGTGCAGTCTGATCTTACGTTGATCAAAACATTCCTCTTCCTCAACTTTCTTGATCACTGTAAATATGGATTAAAAAAAACTTTGGGCCCATTGACACTGATCAACATCTCATGTAATCGGCGTAATATGACGATCACTGATCATTTGGCTAGAAGACTTTGCATGAGATTTCATTTATTTTAGATATATGGACCATTACCCACTGTAGGGTAACAACCAGTTTGTCTGCTTGTCTGTTTTTTTTCACACCAACTACTACTAATAATCATTTATCTTATTTACCACCTTAGAGTCATTTAAATATCTAAATAAACAATCAAAATAAATTATATTAAATTGATATCTCAAACAAGTACCATTTTTTCAATTTTTTTTTTTTTCAAATTTTTATTATTCAACAAATGTTTTTTTTAATATTAATGTATAAAAAAACTAATATTATAATTATATAATTGTTGTATGATAATTATGAGTTATTTATAAATGAGTTTAGACAAAATTTCCGTATTTTTTTGATTTTTAGCAATTTTTTTTTTTTGCAAATACGGAAATTATAAATTGTCTCTTAAACTAAACGTAACGGCTAATAAAAATACATTATTAATAATAATGAAAATCATTGTTGTTTAAAACTAATACTAAACCACACAAATGTTAACTTATATAAAAAAAATTAAAAAATTCACAGTTTTTTGTTCCTTACATAAACTAAAATGAATAAATTTAATTTTCATACATGTCTTCATAGGGGAATTTCTTAAAAATGGGCGTTAATATGCTCTTCATAACGTCAGCAATGGCCACATGTATAGAGGGTTGCAATTCGGTCCAGACATCAAACCAATTTTCATTTAAGAATTGATTCATATGAGCACCCAAGGCTTGATCACCATTAAATAAGTTGGTCAATTGAATGATCATTCTGGGGGCGAAAAAAAGGAAACATTTTGTTAGAGTTTTGATTTCATTGTTTTATTTCATTAATTAAACTTACTTTTGTGGTTCAATCAAGACCTTCAATTTGTCAACCATTAAGAAAGTTTTGCCATTTTTGGGATGTAAGGAGGGCTTGAATTTAACCGAGAATTTGGAGTTTTCTAGTGTAATATCGGCATTACCATCACCGCGTATGGGTAAAATTAAAATGCGTCCATCGGCAGTGTATTTGCCGCGTATAGTGATCTTTGGTAAAATGCCATACATTTCAAATTTGGAAGTAGCAGGATCCGCTCCAAAACCACTGGAAAGAAATTAAAATAATTATATAATTATAAGGGAATTTTAAGCGATAAAAACTATAGTTTATTGACTGCGGAACAAGTCTATTGACAAATCTATGGACTAACCTATTGACTAGTTTATGGACTGGTCTATGACTAGTCTATGGACTAGGCTATGGACTAGTGTATAGACTAGTCTATTGTGTAGTCCATGAACCAGTCTATTGACAAGTCTATGAACTAGTCTCTTAATTAGTCTATTCAGTAGTCTGTGTACTTGACTACTACTGGTCAGTGGACTAGCCTGTGGGTCTACTGACCAGTATGCGGACTAATCCATTGAGTAGTCTATTGACCAGTATATGGACTTGTATTTTGACTAGTCTATTAACTAATCTATGGACTAAAATATAGTCCACTGACTAGACTATGTACTAGTCTCTGTCCTAGTATATTGATTAGTCTATGGACTAATCTACGGACTAATCTATGGACTAGTCCATTGACTAGTCTATGGAGTATATTATAGTATATTCACTAGTCTATGGACTAGTTCACTGACTAGTTTATGGACTAGTATATTGACTGGTATATGGACTAATGTATGGATTAGTCTATTAATTAGTTTATTCACTAGTTTGTGGACTAATCTATTGATTAGTCTATACTTTAGTCTATTGACTATTCTATGAACTAGTCCATTGACTAGTCTATTGACCAGTATGAGGACTAATAACCAGTCCACTGACTATTATATGAACTAATCTATTGACTAGTCTTTTTACTACAGACTAGTCTATTGATTAATATATGGACTAGTCTACAGACTGATCTATGAACTAATCTATTGACTTTTTACTAATCTATGGTCTATGGACTTGACCATTGGTTAGTCTATGGAGTAGTCTATTCTTTGGAGTATTCTATTGATTAGTCTATAGACTCATCTATGGACTAGTCTACTAACTAGTCTATGGACTGGTCTATTGACTAGTCTATAGACTAATCTATGGACCAATCTATATACTTGTCTTTTAACTAATCTATGGTCTATAGACTTGTCTATGAAGTTATCTATTGACTATTCTATGGACTAGTCTATTGATTTGTCTATGGACTAGTCTGTTGACAAGTCTATGGACTAGCCTAATGACTAGTCATTTGACTCGTGTATGGACTACAATATTGAATTCTCTTTGAACTGGTCTATGGACTAGTCTATTGATTAGTCTATGGACTAGTCTGCAGACTAGTCTACGGTCTATTCTATAAACTAGTCTATAGACTAGTCTATGGTCTAGTCTATTGACTAGTCTATGTCCTAGTCTATTGATTAGTCTATCGACAAGTCTACTGACTATGACTATTGTATGGACTACAATTTTGACTAGACTAATCAATAGACTGGTCTATGGACTAGTCTACGGAATATTCCATGGACTAGTCAACGGAATATTCTATGGACTAGTCTATTGACTAGTCTATTGATTAGTCTATGGACTAGTCTATGGACTAGTCTACTGACTAGTCTATGGTCTAGTCTATGGCCTAGTCTATTGACTAGTCTATGGCCTAGTCTATGTCCTAGTCTGTCGATTAGTCTATGTAGTAGTCTACTGACTAGTCTATAGACTAATGTATTGACTGGTCTATAGATTAGCCTATTGACTAGTTTATAGACTAGACTATTGACTAGTTTATAGATTAGTTTATTGACTGTTCTATGGACTAGTAAATTAACTATCGTATTGATTAGTCAATGGACTATTCTATGTTGGACTTCTTTCATTAACTGCGGTTTTTAAGTACAAATTTATATTTAAAAAAAAATCTCGTATATTCAGAGTTTTGTATAAAAAAATTAAAACTTTGCAATAAAAAAATTATACCAATATTCCTTTTAAAACTTAAAAACCAATTCAAAAAATAAATTTATAACATTTCTATACTGTTGCCAGGCAAAAGCATTAAGCCACAGGCAAACAAAATTTATTATTTAAAAAACGAAAAAAATTTACTGTGATACTTTCTGGGGCGACACACAAAAAACGCCTTTGATTAAAAAAAAAGAAGTCCACAAAAAAATTTATATAAAAAACTTATACATTTTGCCACAAAATAAACTCTACTTACACAGCTCGATCGAAATTCACACCAGACAGACCCGCAACATCAACATCGCGGAAATTTAATTTTAAATTTAACGAACCACCACGACCATCTGATATATCGAGTTCTTTCAAATGGAATGGTTCAATGGGTGGAAACGCTGCTGAGGGATAACCTGTGCGTGCATGTTTTCGTATTAAATTTACAGAGGTACGCACCACACAATCGGTATCACCCGTATGACAACGGGGTATATCGGCGGCTAAAATGAAAAAGATTAAAAATAAAGAAAAAAATTTAAAAAATTATGCCAAAAAAATTTACAACAAAGTGAAATATTTTGGTTTTAAAGGAACATGTGAGTGAGTGACTGACTGGTTTGGTAAAATTGTGATTTTAATAAGAGGCTTGGCTTTATATTTTTAAGTAACGAGATTTTATTTCGATTCTTTTGCTGCTTCAAAAGTTGCAACTTATATTATAGAACTTGTTTTACTAAAGTTTAGTTTGTATACATTGAGGATCATAAGAATAAGATCAGTTTATTGAAATATGAAAATTGAAACCAAAACAGTTCAGATTTCTATAATATAGTTTTGTAACAATTTAAATTATATACATATATATTTTGGATTCTTGTAGATTGAGGAATCGAATAAGCTTTGTCCGTCTGTCGGTGCAGGTGTCCGTCTGTCGGTGCAGATGTCCGTCTGTCTGTTTATTGAAATTAATGTTCTGCAGATCTGGGGTCTTTGGGATCCAAATTTTCAATAAGATATACTTCCGAAAAGTATCCTGTTTACAATTAGCAAAATCTTTTTATAAATAACAGAAATATGGGCTGTGTAGACGAATTCTCCCCCACCGTTTGACAGTTTATTTGTGTGACTATATAATCTTTGTGTTAAAAGTTATACGAAACGCAGTATTATGTGTTATCGAATATTTATTGGTTTTATTTATTTATTTAAATAATTTTCTTAGTCAATAATGTCTGAACATTTATTTTGGGCAAGTACGCTTCTTTTTTAATTCTAAACAAAGTCGAATTTGAAGTAAATATTTACATTATAATTTAACAAGATTTTTTCTTTGTTGCAAATTTTAAAATAGAAATTTGCGCATAAGTATTTCTTAAAAAATCTAAAATCTTTTAAACTTACTTTAATAATTATTGATAAAGACAGACAGACAGATAGACAGACAGACAGACAGACAGACAGACAGACAGACAGACAGACAGACAGACAGAGAGACAGATAGACAGACAGGATCCAAGACAACAACCAGTTTGCCGATTACTATTATAAACCATAAAATAATGTTTAAATTTGTCCCATAGAAGGTGTTGAAGTTTTAATAATTCGGCCTTAGCCGATTTCAAAACGTATGTTCGTCCGTTTCTCCTTCAAGGCACACTATAGGGTCATAGAACTCTAATTTTCCTCAATTGTTATGTCAGATCACAATTGTTGGATATTGAAACTAGCCATCGCTAAACAAGAATCAAATTTTTAACAAAATTTCAGTCCGTCCCTCTGCCGCCCAAATCAATTCAAAAATGCACTAGATCCAAAACAAAAGGACTTAGAAAACTGAAATTCTTTAGGGCATTTCGAAAGTTTAGATTAGGTGGCTAAAAACTGAATCTAAATATGAGGAAAATCATCATCTATTCGCCGTCCAAAAGCAGACAGAAATGTAAGGAACCCTTAATGTTGAAATTTTGACAATGTGATCAAAAATAGGTCATGGCTTGAACTGATAAGAAGTTTGGAATAAAAATATATACAGACTTTCATGGCAACTTGAATTATAGACCTCATGAAGTGTATTATTTTGGATCCTTATATGCTAAATCCTAAAGGCCTCAGAATAGCGGACCTATAGGGGGGGTGTTTGTTAAACATTTTCTCAAAATATTCTTTGGTAATCAGAAATAGTTGTTATTGAAAATAGGTAAATAGCTTAATCTGAATAAATTCAGATGTCCGTCCATCTGCTGCCTAAAAATCAGACTCTATAGGGTCTAAGCAAAGACCTCTAGAAAGTTGAAACAAAATGGTTTGAACCAACAAAAAGTTATAATCAAACCAAAATTTTGAAAATATTTGAAAATCGTTGTTTCTTATAAAATGTCTGTCTGTCCACCATTCGATAGGATCCAAACAAAGGGAGCCAGAAAGCCAAAATTTAAATGTGAACCCAACCAGGTTGAAAATACCCAGAAAGCTGAAGATTGACAACACTAATCCCTAACGAAATTTTGAATTTTTTGAATAAAAATGATTCAAACCGAAAATGTCCGTCTGTCCACCATTCGATAGGATCCCAACAAAGGGGCCAAGAAAGCCAAAATTTAAAAGTGAACCTAATAGGTTAAAAGAACCCAGAAAGCTGAAGATTGGCAGAACTAATCCCTAAGAAAATTTTGAATTTTTTGAACATAAATGGTTCAAACCGAAAATGTCCGTCTGTTCACCATTCGATAGGATCCCAACAAAGGGGCCAAGAGAGCCAAAATTTAAAAGTGGACCCAACCCATCTGGAAAGAACCCAGAAAGCTGAAGATTGGCAGGACTAATTCCTAACAAAATTTTGAATTTTTTTAACAAATATGTTTCAAACCAAAAATGTCCGTCTGTCCACCATTCGATAGGTCTGTCCACCATTCGAAGGAGCCCAGAAAGCAAAATTTTAAGCCAGGTTGAAAGAACCCAGAAAGCAGAATTTTGATAGGACTAATCCCTAAGAAAATTTGGAAATTTTGATCAAAAATAATTCAAACAAAAGTCGTTATTTTTTTAGATTTAAATTAAATTTCAGATAAAATTTTAAACTTACGAAATGTTGAGGCCGCTTTAGTATTTGAAAAGAAGAACATGCTGCAGCACAGAGTTGCCAGACATAAAAATGCTAAATTCGACATTTTTATTTAGTTTTAATTTAACACTTTTTTTAAATTAAAATATTTTTAGATTTTTAAACAAAAAAATTTTTTTTCCAAAAATTTATTGGTTCACTACAAATACAATTGTTTATTTTTTTTTTATTAATTATTTTTTTTTTAATTTACATAAAACAAAATTTTTTTAATTTTTATAAAATTTTCTTTGTTATGTTTGATTTTAAAGGATCCAATATATAGTTTGATTTTATTTTTGCAATGTCTGAACCAATGTCAATGTTAAACTGAATTTAAATTCTAGACCTACGCTGGCATTTATAATATTTTTTTTCTTTATTCCATTGGCGATTTTTTTTTGTTATTGTTTTCATAAAGCTGGGCTAGAAAACAAAAACTTCTTCTTGTTTTTTTTTTTTTGCTTTTTGGTCAACAGCTAGCGTATCATTAATATTGACAACTTCTAGATCTACAGAATGTTGTATGAGAGTATAGGAATCTACTACTACTACAAATACTACTACTACTTACCACATAACTTACTATTCCTCTAGTTTTGGTTGTTGTATTTTTTTGCTTGATTTTTTTTTTGTACAATCTTTGCTAAATTGATTATAATTTGTTGTATTTTATTTATTTATTTTAGTCATCATTATTAACATTAAGAATTATGTATACGATTTTGTATATTCTGTTTATAATGACAGACGACTACGTCGACTTAAGTACAACGTAGTCGTTGTCGTCGTCTACGTTGTGTTGTTTGTTTTTCGCTTGTTATTCTTTGGCAGTTCCTTTTCGATCGAAATTGTTAGTGTTCAATTCTGACTGGAGATCTTTTACAAAACAAAAAAAAAAACAACAACTTAAACGTATTATTATACATACCCCTTCATTTGTCCACTTTTATTTACCGGTAAAATATTTTATATAAAAAAAGTTATCTTCGTCATCGTTTTCATTAACTTCATTATCATAAGTTCGCTTTCATACATATAAATTAGTTTGGGAACTGTTAGCAGGTCTTAACAATTTTTGGTTAAAAAAAATATTTATTCATTTACTAAATTGTATGTAAATACTTGTATCGGTAGTATCATCATAAATAATTCGAAACTCAAAGTTATAGCATACCCTATAGTTATTCCAGACTGTTGTGAAGGGTGTAATTAATGTATTTGGTTGGACTTACTTTGGTAATGTTTCCTAATTAAATCAGAATCATATTCAGATACGGTTTAAGATGGTCCAGCCTCTTGGCCATCATTTGATACTATAGTATCAAATAATTAGTTTATGGGCTAGACTATTGTCCTGACTATGGTGTAGATTATAATATTGCCTATTGACTACCCTAATGACTGGACTATGTATGAACTAGTCTACTGACATCTTAATTGACTAGAATAAGGACTAGTCTATGAACTAGTGTATGGACTAGCCCATGAACTATTCTATGAACTATTCTATGGACTAGTCTATGAACTAGTCTATGCACTAGTCCATGAACTAGTATATAGAGTAGTCTTTGAACTAGTCTATGGACAAGTCTAAGAACTAGTCTATGGACTAGTCTAAGAACTAGTATATAAACTATTGTATGAAATAGAATATAAACTATTCTATGGACTAGAATATGAACTAGTCTATAGACTAGTCTTTGAACTAGTATATGAACTAGTCTATGAATTAGCCTATGAGCTAGTCTATGAACTATTCTATGTACTAATCTATGAGCTAGTCTATGAACTAGTCTATGGACTAGTCTATGAAGTAGTCTATAGACTGGTCTTTGAACTAATCTATGGACTAGTCTATGAATTATTCTATGAACTAGTCTATGGATTAGTCTATGGATTAGTCTATGAACTAGTTTATGGACTAGTCTTTGAACTATTCTTTGGACTAGTCTATGAACTATTCTATGAACTAGTCTATAGACTAGTCTTTGAACTAGTCTTTGGACTAGGCAATAAACTAGTCTATGGACCAGTCTATACACTAGTCTTTGAATTATTCTATGGACTAGTCTATGAAGTAGTCTATATATTAGTCTTTGAACTAGTCTATGGACTAGTCTATGAACTAGTCTATGAACTAGTCTATGGACTCGTCTATGAGCTAGTCTATGAACTATTCTATGAACAAGTCTATTGACTAGTCTATGAACTATTCTATGGACTAGTCTATGAACTAGTCTATGAACTAGTCTATGGACTCGTCTATGAGCTAGTCTATGAACTATTCTATGAACAAGTCTATTGACTAGTCTTTGAACTAGTCTATGGACTAGTCAATAACCTAGTCTATGGACCAGTCTATGACCTAGTCTATAGACTAGAAAATGAACTAGTCTATAGACTAGTCGTTGAACTATTCTATGAAGTAGTCTATATATTAGTCTTTGAACTAGTCTATGGACTAGTCTATGAACTAGTCTATGGACTAGTCTATGAGCTAGTCTATGAACTATTCTATGAACAAGTCTATTGACTAGTCCATAAACTATTGTCAATAAACTATTGTCATAAACAAACCTTACCTTTATTAAGCAGCCTGAATATTTGTGGGTCTTTGATCAAACGAAATGACAAAATCAATAAAGTACTGAAAATATGTAAAATATACATATTAAACGATTTGACTAGTTTTCATGTAAGAAAATTTTGGGAAATTTTCTTTCTCTTAGATCTCTACCTCTGACTCTATGGTACCTTCGTACGCCAGTCGAACCAAATATTTAGATTGTCATTATATAAACCGATAAAAATCGGATAAATGTGGTACTAATGGTAGTTCACTACACGTGAACAGTCAAGTAGAGTCGAAGAGACTCCGTTTTCACCAAAGACCCAGAGACCCAGAGTATCGTTGTTGTATATCTGTTGTAGGGTATTGTATGTTTAGACTTATGCGATCATAATTTTTTTTAGTTGTTATTTAAGTTCATTATTTCTGCTAAAATTTAATAAATACATTATTAAATTGTTCAATATTTGCGGTAGTTATTAATCATAATAGACTTCAGATACTGAACAAAGTCCATTTATTTAGTATTTAAATATATAATTTGATTTAAAGAATATGTTTCGAAGATATGCAGTAAACAAAATAATATATGCAATTATATGTACAGATGTGTCGTTTTTTATATATAACAGTATCTGGTCAAAATCTTAGATACAAGAAACAGCCAAAGTAAATTTCAATTTGAAAAACTTTCATTGTTATGTAATATGATGCATTGGAGGCAAGTATTTACCTATAAGGAGTTAAATAAGTACTTACAGTAATCGCTTGCTAATAGGTTATGTAGTTTTTGCCATTTTCAGATCTCTTTGGCTTGAAGGTTCTATAGTTAATTCTATATTCATACATATATAATTTATAAAAGTTCAGCTGTTCTCATTACAATTCCCATACACTGTAGTCATCTTAATAATTTAAATTCTCTACGATTTAAAAGACTAATAGTCCCATTAGTTATATTTTTAAATACATTTTTTTATTATTATTAAATGGTTATATTAACCTTTTGCCAAAATGTTTTATTATTATATTTTATTCTATCATAAATCATTTTGAAAAGAAATCATTATAAAATGTTTTCATTGTTTCAGTGCAGTTTCAATGGCACGCGACTTTAAAAATAACACGTCAATCTGGATCCTGTCATTAAATGAATTTAAATATAAAATGAATATACACTTCAAAATCAAACATTAATGTATTCCGCGTATTTTGTATTCCGCACAGTAAATAATCTTTGCACATGCGCAGATTGTGTGCAGTGTTTAACAAAAAAATATCATTTAAAATTTGTGATCACGATTTTTAGTAAAATTAAATAAATATTTATGTAAAATTTTTGGGTATTTTTTTATGCTGATGTAGTAATTTAAAATTATAAATGCGTATCAGGGTGGTGTTCATATTCTAATTATTTTGATATTTATTAAAAAGTTATGCGTCTGACATAACTTTTAACTAACTAAATCTACTAAAGTAACTTTTAAAAGCATTCTTGTTTACTACTGCGAAACAAAAAATAAACTAATTAATTTGTTAATCAGCTCGATTACTATGAAAGCCCATAAGTTTCTAGACAGATTTAGAATAGGCTGTGCGATATATTAAAATATATTTAATATGCGATTTGTTATTCACCATTTGTGTGTGAAAAAACGTGTATTTAAGTTAGTGGAAAAATCGAAAGTATATTTAAATATTAAACTTTTGTATTTAAGTTGGTAGTAAACGAATTTTATACGTACTGCCTTCATACTGGTCCATAGTATAGTCCTCCTAGACTCGTCAATAGACATGTCCATTACCTATTCAAGAATAGTTCAGAGACTTGTCAAAAGACTAGATCATAGAATAGTATATAGACAGATATATAGATAGGGTCCGATAGTGACCTAGACCATACTAGTCCACGGACTAGCCAATAGTCCGTTCATAGACTAGCCTTTAAACATACCCATGGAATCGTTTAGCAAAGTTTGAAAATTAGGTTTTAAATTCGCTTATAACATAAAGTCCCTTTTTAGGCAACAGTCTCAAACTATTAAGTCCTATATTTATACCATACATAGTACTATAGTGGGGAGAGTATTAAACGTTTGTGCTGATGCTTATAACACTTAAATATATTGATTCTACTCATACCTTAAAATGTCATTTTCTGAGTCGTTTGTCCTTCTGTGTGTCCATGTAATCCTTGTGCGCATGCTACAGGTAGAAAGTGGAAGCCGATTGGAAAAGGTTAAAATGGGTTCATTAATTCGCATGGCCCCCATAAAACTTTACCCCCTGGATAGGAATATGTTAAATGTTCTTGTGTATGTTCGCAAATCTACAAATCTTAGTTTTATATAAATCTTAAAGATAGTGCTGATTTTCGTAATTATCGGACTTAATTTGACCCTAGCCCCATACAAAGTCCCCTTCAGAAAATTGCTTGCTGGACAAAATCCACTTATAAACACTAATATCACGATGATATTCTGCATAAATAATTTTAATGTTGACGTAAATTTAGTTAGTTAGTTAGTTAGTTAGTTAGATAGTTAGTTAGTTGGTTAGTTAGTTAGTTAGTCAGTTAGTTAGTTAGTT